GGAGTAAATTGACGTACCCATACACCTCGACGTACTCATTCTACATCCCCTCCAGATGACAGTAGCCAGCTTATCTTGCCTCGCTCTGAAGCCGGAGATGACGGTCACCCTCCAGTTGCTAGTACCACGAAGCCAAGTCGAGGGGAAAAACCCATTTGTTGCCTTTCGAGGGACGGTAATGGACGACGTCGAAATGACGGAATCTGGTCCGAAGCGCTACCACACCCAACTGACTGCACCGGGAGCGCATACATGAGGACTTCAGGTAGAATAAACAATGGGGTGGTTCTCAGAAATCGGCTAAGATGTGTTGCCCAGTGTGGGAAGCCTAATGTGAGGCCTCGTATTGGCTATCTAGGTGAGCAACAAAGCCGTGGGGTAGCAACGACGGAGAGCAAGAGGTAGGGACAGATATAGGTATCAGAGGCGAAACCTGTCCTGCAGAACGAGAAGCGAGATCACAGCTTTCATATGGTTGGGCGGGAGATTTTGTTTGGAACGAGGCACGAAGGGAGAGAGATGAAACGGTCTGGAATGATGCATCAATGATGTATGCCCGGCGATAGAACCGTACTTGGACCACCTTCGTATTCTGCCTCTCGGTACGCCACCATGACGCCAAGATGAACTCAAAGGTGAGGTAGGCACACAATGTCCATCTCGGTTTTTATGGATATTCGAAGGGTCTTGAACGGATTTATGGGTGAACACGGGCGTAGGGTAGCTTATTCATGTTTCAGATCCAACACAACGAGGGAAGCGACGCCGAGAGGTGGAATCTGTTGAACTGTAGTATTGTTGAATTATCAGGAATTTTGAACATCTCAGCACGGAGATAAACAGCCGCACCTTGGAAGTTCGGAGGCCAAGGCTCTTCTACTTCCATTCGCACTTCCATCCTATTGAGAGCGCATTCGAGGCAGCGTTTGCAGTGTCATGACATTTCAGGAAAGAGAAGCGTTGATCGGCCGAGGTCATGCAAAATTTCGTGAGAGAACGGTCGAGGACACAAGGGCCAGCGAGGTTCGAGTGAGTTCGGGTACCGACGAGCAAGGACTTGAAACCGTCGCTTGGGCAGGCATTCGATGCTTGGGACCAAGGTACTTGTAGGTACGAGAGAAAAGGACCTATATCTATCTATGATAATAATCAATAAACGTATAGAATACACTGAAAAAGTTGACCAAACGTAACATTTTCCACTACGGAGCCCTTACTGGCTGCCTTATCTTCCTGTTCCAGTTTTCGATGACGAGATTACACCTCCGCCTATTGGTATGTCAGCATTGCTGTGGAGGTAGCAATAAGAAACGAAGATGACCCCCGTAGTCTCTATTCCCTTAACCGAGGTCGGTCAGAGAAGAAATGAGGGGAAAAGGCCGTATTGTGGGGTTTTCGTTGGTACATGAGGTTGAGCAAGAAGGAACCCTTTAACCGGGCGAGAAATTGAGTAGAGAATGGGTTTTTATGGATAGGTCGATGTGAATACGCGACCGTCGTACGACTTCGGGAGTGTCGTGGTTGGACAGTGGGGATAATTGGGATATGTCGAGGTATCGTGCTGGAGATGGTTGGTTTTGATGACGCACGACAGGGCGAGGTTCAAGAGTTCTGAAAAAGTCAGATCGCAATTGCAAGTGAGATGATAAAGACGGACTCATTAGCCACATTTCCCCGAGACCGTTATTCGTCTAGAGTTCCTTCGATAATCGTGTGGATGAGAGCCGCTTGAGCGAGTCAGTTGACAAGGAACTCATATCTCGGCTACGAAGAGAGCTGACGGTAAGATTCGGAGAACATGGTGGTCAGGCGCAAAGTTACGAATTGCCGGCTTCGACGGAGTATCTGGTCCCGAGATGTTGGCTAGACAAACGCGCTTCTTTTCCGTCCCACCATGACCCACAGGAACCCATAAGCCTTACACAACGTGCAAGCAAAGAATGGTACAGCAATGTTGTACTACACCGCTAGCCTGGCTCAACTTTCAAGGGTGCCAGCCCATTCATTGTTATCCAACTTCGTAGCCTTCAAGTTCACAAAGAGGTGACCCAAGGCAGTCTGTGAATCTACAACGTGGATCACAAGGCGTGCGCCACTCGTGGGAATGAGACAGTGCGACTACTTGGTGACTGAAGGCAGCGGGGCTCACTGATATGAGTTACACTAACAATGAATGAGTCTATGATGCTGATTATTGTAATTTTAGATTACATTTACATGAGTCGAAGTGGGGGATGGAAGTTGTATGATCTATCAGGCTACGACGCGCCATCCAAGGCGTGGGAATTAGTTCTGCGTACTCTCACATCGCTACAGAGGTGATTGACTCACGCCGATCCTAGAGATTATTACGCCGTGATTGCAAACTCTCATTATCTCTGAGATGACTATGTATAATCATACACTAAAGGTTAGGTAAAGGTTGCGTAAAGGCAGGGTAAAGGCAGCTGCCTTTACCCCTGCCTTTGATTTCTCACCCCCCAACCTAGAGCCTCACTCTTTCTTCTGAGCCTCCAAATCCAGTGAAATGATGGTCGTTTGAGTATCAATGCCGTGATGACTATCAAAACTGTCGGGTCGGCGAGCAATGTTCAAAATGCTGTGGTCAAATGGGTGATCCTGTGCCTGGCTTGACTGAAGGATATCTTTCGCGATGGTTTCCTTGAATGTTTTTTCATCGTGGATGGCGATTCCGAGCGTCACTCGCACAATGATTAGAGTTGATGATATCACCTTTGAACGAAAAGAAATTTATGTCGTGAGTCGCGCACCGGGGGTCGAGTGTGGATTGAATTGCGTACCATGATAGTTACCAAGGAATCAAAAACCACATCCTCTGTTAGATCAATACCTTCAGTTTCTCTGTAGTATCCCCAGCTAACGAACACACATGCTGTGTAGACTATAAGGCTAAGTGGGTATATCAAGCCTGACTCTATCCTATTAGGGGAAGATAGGGTGTAAGAACGTTTGGTGGAACCGATATAATTATTGATCTTACGTGGCTGAGATGATAGTTCTGTAGACAGTTGGTATTGATGAGCGGGACGGAAGGTTTTTGCCTACTCGATAGGCAATCAAGAGGATTCTTCCAGCTGTGCGGCTCGGATCAGAAAGTTCACTGCTCAAGTGCTTCAATCAACTCACCAATTAGCATAGTCAACAGCAGATTACCGATGAACGCAAAAAAGGTGAAGATAGCTAAGTGAGGTTTTAAAGAAAGTGGGCTCGTGGAACCGGTGGGTGCCATGGTTGCTACACTCAAGAACTGCGATACCATCAATACAAGTCCATAAGCTACGGCGCAAAATCAGTATGATAGGACAACAGGTCGATGATAAGATACTAGTATTTGACGCACCATTCGTCCCAACGACAATCAGACACGGAAAGATGAGGACGGGAATTTTGTTGCATCCCCATAAGAGGTAACAACGCCATACCTATTCAAATCCTCAGTACTTGGCCCATCTGACAGTCCAAGCTCACCAGAAGGATATCCATTAGGCAGCTGAGTGGAAGAAATGATTGTCAATGTCGGTCAGCGAGACTAAGGCTAGATGATCGCACTTTGCAAGGACTGTGGTGAAGTGCACGTATACGCTAAGGGGGAAGCTACCAGTTCTCAGAATTAGGTGGTCCCAATAGCAAGGTGGACATGTAAAATATACCTTGCCCAATTTATGAATGAGCGCTCATCCTCGCGTTGAGTTTGAATTTGTTCAGGGGCAACGTTCCCGAGCTCTCGAAGTGCCGCAACAAAGCTATAGAGCTCTATCTGACTCTGCACCAAATACAACGCAATCTTGAGACCAATCTCCACGGTAGCGATGGTGTAGAGGACTGTGATCAATGCAAGATACGTCCGGTAGCCGCCTCGTTTACGGGTGAGCAGGATATACATGCACAACACATAGAGCACCGTGGAAATGCCTGACAGAAGAAATGTTTTCTAGTGCAGTACATGTAGGAGGAGTGTGAAAAACGGTGCTCACCATAGAGAAACACTCCGACCTAACATCGCCGGCCGTGAGTCAATACATTCCATCAGATGTGATATTGCCAACCTACAGTATTCAAAACTTGGGGTCTTGAGATGAGATTGAAACAGATTTCATCGTCGACGATGGGACAACGCATATGCTCCGAATTGAATGTTAATAGGCCAGCTGGGTGATGGGTAAGAATCAAGAAACTAAGAACTATCCTCAGAGTGATTTGGTATATATGCACTTCATACCACTGCCTCAATTGTGGGCCCCGCTACCGTCGGCCCCATCTCTGATCTCCTAGATGACAGCGGAAAGAGAGCATGATGGGGGAACAAATCAAGGCGGAGCTTATGAGACAAAGCTCGCCGAGCATACCCGTTCCGGCCTACGGGCTGTCCCGGCGCCCCCATCAGCAAAGTCTTTTCCCGGTGGCTGTTTTTGACCGTTCTTGACACTTAAGCCGATCTCTCAGGGTGGTAGGCTCGCCGCCCAGGAAACTTGGTTCATTGTAAGCTTCCAACATTCTGTATTGCGTGAAAGAATATTTCCATAACCTCCAAAGGGTGTTTGTACTCTGAACGAAGAAGTAGGCACAAAAGACACCGGTAAATTTCTGCTCAACACTCACTTACTTATACCAAAGATTCAGCCAGTGGGATTTTTGACCCAGTCGTTCAGTATGAGGACAGTAACTTAGATTGATCTCCAGCTCGGTGAGCTTTAAACAATGTGGATCGTTCGGTTTTGGCTCACTCAATAATCGAGGGGTCAACCTCGAGTAGAGAAAGTGCACGAGTCACGTCGCACAACTAGCATGAGGGCCGTGTTGCGACCAAAAGTCCACTATTGATATCTCAAGACTTGTTCTTATCAAGGTGTCGTGGTACGTCGAAGAGCTTCGGGCTAACCTCGTCAAAAGGTGGCCGCAGAGCCCATAGATACATTGGAAACTTCTAGCGATCCGTACAACCAGGCTTCGGAGGGATATAACCTTGTTTACTCTCAATCGGCCTGATGGTCTAGTAGTATGATTCCTTGTTAGAGTAGAGTTCTTATCGAGGAGGTCCCGGGTTCAATTTCCGGTCAAGCCCATTGCATTGCTCCCACACTGTTTTTTTCTCGCTGTATCGTAAGAGAGCAAGCCTTTCACACCCAAGGATGAGTGATTGTAATCTAAAGAGAGCGACTCGGGTTTCGCGTTGAGAGCGGAATGGAAGCGGAAGGGGGGAAATAGCTGCGTAGCAGGAGCTCGGAGAGGAGGTGAAAGAGACAAAGAGATTGAGAACGATGTTGTGCGGGCTAGCAGGATCGAGGGTCAAGTGAGGTCTGATGGGTGGTGAAAGAAGAAAACAGGAAAACTACTTGGAGATACACATGATTGTCACAAATTGAAAGTTCCTTGCGGACTGGAACGCCGACAACAATGGGCATTAAGACATTTCAGTGAAGTATTTCAGTGACGATCACTGACATACAAGTTCACACATCGTTCATCGTTCAGTGTATGTCAGTGATCGGTACCAAACCACCAGCCGGTCCTTATAATCGCAACACCGCCGAAGAAAGAACAGAGATTGAACGAGCGGCAGCCAGCCTGCAGGTATGTAATCTATCACGACCGAATTCGAGGGTTCAAACGAAACTTTAAACCACTACTAACACCTACGTACCTACTCCAGCAAGGCTCTGTCCGAAAGCTCTTCTCGTCGTGGCTCTAGTGATCAAGAGATTTCGATAAGGAGCCCTAAAGTGAAAATGAGGACGGTTTCACGAACGAGAGGAGCCGAGTTACCTACCGTACAGAACGAATAGTCGTGCCTGCTGGCAGCTACTATTCTCCTTAGCTTCCTCATGCTGTGAACATAAGCCCGAGAGCCAATGGAAGTGGATCGGACCAGTGGCTAGCAATGGCATCCGTGATTACATATGATATCGAAAGCCTGAAGAGGGCCCTCACGCCAGTGCACGAATGGTTTTCTACACAGTCGAGACAGGTTTTGGGAGCTTAGCTTGAACCTTCACAAAACGACGAGAGGTGTGTGTTTCTGAGGCAAATAGCGATGGAGAGGGAACTGGCGCATATATGTGTATCATTTTTAGAAAAGCGTGTGTCACCTCGAGGCATCGTTGGTCTTCGAGCGAAAGTCAGTAGGAGAGAGCAAGGATGTCGACATATTCTTGTAATGCAGGGTGAGGTGTCCATCTCAACCATGGTGGCCGTCGAGTAGCTCTGAGGCGACAGCTTCCTGAATGGTTCTTTGTTTTCATGGCCTTCACAAAGCTATTAGAGGTACGTTTGAGAGACGTGAGGCATACTGTTGAAACTAGACGAGTTGAATGTGGTTGCCGAACGTGCCCTACGCCGTCGCAATATCAGCGAGTCGAAAAATCCTTCCCCAATCATGCAAGGGTCTTTTTTATGATTCTTTCGCTCCAGCAATGGAGAGAAATCTTGTAAACCCAAGTTCCTGCGCGATGCCGGTTCATATTTTATTATTAGCATGACGCAATCTAAGATGAAATAAAGATAGCCCTACATCCATAGTTTGGTAAGTCAGCAGCCTCCAGCTCCAATCGGCGTTCAGGTTGGCTAGCTTTTACACCTCGAGGTCGGCCTTTGTTATTTGAGCTCTTGAGTGTCATGGCGGTTCATGCAAGAGATGCGTTTTGGCCGGGGTAGCGATACCGAATAACGTCTGCCGCACGTCACAGATCCGACAGGCAAAACCATGGACCTATGCATTTCCTTCGACCTAACACCTTCAACCGCTCATATGGGTTACTCGGAGGCGCTACCGAGGTTCAATGGGCAGACATAAGGTTCCTCAGTAGCTCTGGAGCCTCAAATCAACATTCGGCTGGGGCATTGAGTCGCGGCTCCCAACTTTTTTTCTCTCTCCATTCCAGTCGATTTCATTCAACCAGTGAATCTTGCACTCGACACTTTCCCCCTACTTTGACCCGCCAGAACAACTACACAACCGTCCCAGTAGCTGGTCTATGCCGTCAGGCACTCACGAAAAAAGCGAACACCGATCGGCTCGCTTGGTCGACTGCCTTCGTCATCTATGCAGAACATCAACGCTCCCCATTGATTTCCACGATCCCTATCTGTCGTTTCGATGTACTAATGGAGGCTTCAGATCCCTACAACTTCGCTGATCTCATTCAGTTTCCCGGTCGAGGGGTGGCTTTCAAAGTAATTTTTGGTCCTTCCGATGAACACATGCCGTAAGGGACGGACGTTTTGAGGAGAGTCGGATCACCTTGGGTTGAGCGAAAAGACGATCTCAAAGCCTATTTTGAAAGATGATGATGGTGAGAACTAAACGGATTGTATTCTGACACCCAGCGGTTTGGGGTAGGATCTCATCATAAGATCACTGACGAACTTCATCTCCGGTTACCCATATTTTCACCGCAATCACAGGGCTTTAATTATTCGTGGCGGTTGCACACAGTAGGCGGCAGAGAGCGCGCTCTTGTCCTAAGTGCTATGTAGTCAACGTAGCACAGTCAATCCGACCGCCACATCCCCACATGGTTGATATTTCTCTCTACATTACCATGCTGTACCTCACAACTTCAGAACCACGTCTCGAGCGTTGCTGATCCGGGATCCAGCGACACAGGGTCTCCTCTAGGCAACATGACTAATTCAGGCGGGGTCGACCGCTCGTGACACCCGGATGATGATTATTCACCTCACAACTTTCCAGGAGATCGCTCCCTCCGATACCGAATTTACCATTCCACATACAACGACAGATTTATTACGCCCATCATGATATGTCATTTTCCTGGGGCTCTCATTCATCGGCATTTTGGAAGCGAAGCGAAACGTCGATGTCTTTTCACCAGAATTCGTGCTACGGCCACTGTGAGACTCTCCCCAGTTTATTCTGGTTCATCGTATGTCAAGATGTGCCATTTATTCAATTATGCTGATGGTTGCCCTGGTCACAGTATGAAAGACTTCATACCAGCATACCGAGAGGTGTCCTTCAGAAACCGCTCCTCTAAAAACGGAATGGCGTATTTTAGGTCCCATCCTTATCGTCCGACAAGTCGTTGTTTTGCCTATATCTACCCTTACGGTGATTTAGCTTCATTGAAGGTTTGGTACACGTTCGACAATTTACTTCTGTGCTACGAGAGGCGTCTTGTCAGAAGATAGATTGCGGCAACTAATATCCTGTATACGCATCCTTTGAGCGAAACGAACGGGCTTGTACTAATTTAGAGTATTAACGACTGTGGTTATTCGTACGGATTACTGATGTGGTCATTATAGATTAGTATGTTAATTATACCTGTATATCTTGTCGCCTGGAACGCTCTTCTCTCTGTCAACCTTACGGGGACTCGATTCGCGCTTGCTACGCCAGCGATGCCTTCCTCGCGAAGCTGATGGTTGGGTAAAATATGGCGTACCCGAACATTGTGCCGGATAAATGCTAATGGCAACTGTTTCGGCGTCCTCTGGAGAGCTGCAAGGTTGCACAGGATGACATCGAGAAAATTAGGGCGACCGGAGGGGAGACTATAAATATCTACTCACCCCTGGATCCACAATTGCATCTGGGGCAGCCCATGTCCGTAATTGAGGGTCTACTAGAGTGTTAGCGGATGTGGGAGTGGTCGCTTTCGAGGACGCTGGACCCCCGTGTTTCGGAATCTGAACGGTTTGGGTGGACGATGTGGCGTTCTCATTTTTCAATGAACCCAATGTTGCCCTTGCGCTCGAATTCGTCTCTGGGAATGTCACAGTGGCTGAGACGGAAATCGTGGGCAATGTGAAGTGATCGGTCACTCCTGTTGGCGTGGCAGCCGAGCGCCAGTAAAAGATAAGCCCGTGGAAAACAGCCTGTTTGTAGATGAGATTCACGAAAAGCAAGGAACGGACAAGGGGAGAAGTGACGCACATCCAAACCGCAGCTAAGCATGCATACCCAATCTATCTCGTTCCCTCCTAATCCCAGAAGGATTACCACGTTGACCTACATAGCCACGGTTCATTAGATGTGAGGGCCAAGAACGGCGGGTCGTCTGAAACTCACAAAGACAACCGATTGGTTCAATAGCGTCGCCCTTTGTTGCGAGGACATAGGCCGTTGAACCGTCAGTCTCTGTGTACTTCTCGCCCGTCCGACGGCACTCACCATAGACTCATCTTGGCGACTGCTCTTAGCGCCGGACTCTTTATCTTCGATTTCAACAAAGGCCAGCAGAACATAAAAGTGAAGAACACATGCTGAAGAAAGCTGTACGCCGGCACTGATATTATCCTGAGTTACAACGGGTCAGTGAGCTTTCTAGGATCCAAGAAAATGTGCGAGTTGGTGACTTACGCCCATGTCTTCAGCTCAAACAAACACGTCCCATCATCTGAGATTATAGCCGAAGATCCAAAGAAAAGCGATGCTGATATTCCTGCCAAACCCACTTGGGATAGTTGACAGAACAGGAAGGCTGGAGACCTGAGACGTGGGGTGCATAACTCATCAGACCAGACCATGTAAACCTTCGAGGCAAAAAGTTGAGAAAATGAGTTCCCCCTGTACAAAGATAGCATATACCATTTCCGCTAAAAAAGCGGAGATCAGGATCTACATGGATGTAAAGCTCGTCAGCTATTTACCTACTATACTTTCCGGGTCGTAGAACTCACCCGTAATAGACACCCAAATGTGAGGCAGATCGACAACACGATCGAGCAGCTCCAGTAATCCTGATAGGTTCCCACACCCATCAACATGAACCCAGCTGGGTGATTTGGAGTTCAAAACGTGAAGCAAAAAGAATCGCACGAGGCTTACTGAGAAACATGAACAACCACCTGCAGACCGAGCACGAGCATTTTCAGGTTTGAATATCAGGCATGTTATACACGGTGCACCTCAGGAAACGACGTACGAATGACCGAGAACTAGCACCAAAAATAGCTTCCCCCACGTCAATCGCTTCCATTCCGAAAGTGTAGTAGGCATTCGTCGTGCTATAAACAGTGAAAGGACCGAGCTGCAGACAGCATCGAGCACTAGTTAGCCCGACGTACAGCTGGAATTGAATCGCATAGACAGCAGGCGTA